GGAGACCGAGGCCATGGGCCACTGCTCCAGAACTGTGGGTGCTGCACCAGCTCTCCTCAAAATCCATCGGAGGAGAGAGGCTCACTGTCGCCGGACGCCACTGCAGTCATTACGATCAAACTTGCCAATTAGTCTGCGGGGAGCCCTGCAGCCGGAGGAGTAAGCCTGGAAGCAAGCTGGCTGGATGCTGTTATGTCTCTGACGGATGTGGACGACGATGGAATGACACCTTTTCATTGGAAGCCTGTCTCATGCCGCAAAAAGGTCGAAGAAGCGGGTTATGAATGGCTCCATCACCCAAGTGCGCCTCCCGTTTCATCTTCAGCATTAAGGGAAAGGGAAGTGACAGTCCGGAAACCCACTTCAGTTCCCTCCCTTGTTCTTCGCATCTGGCTCCCAGCGTCCAAGCCCAAGAAAACATTCCATCTTATTAAAGTCAGCCACTTTCTCAGACGTAGACAAGTTGCAAGAGACCTCTGTGTCACTCAGCCGGCACCGTGTGAGCGGTGGTCCGGTAGCTGGAGCGACGCGAGTGCTCCATGGGATTCAGGCCAAGGTCTGCCTCGTCCCGTCGCCAAGGGCTCATCCCAGGAAGGGCTCACTGCTGAGCCTCGCGATCGAGCCGCAGAGGGTGTTGCCACAGGGGAGCCGAGTTGTCTGGTGGCTGCACAATTACTGGGGCTTCCTGAAGGGTGTGAATCCCGAGCTTTCGCTGTGAGAACTGTTACCAGAAGAGTCTGCCTGAGCTGGGCAGTCCTGGATCACTTGGCCTGGTTCCACACAGTGCCAGCCTCATGCTTCAGGGACTCGAGACTGGGGTGGCCCTCCTCCTCTCTTGGCCTCCAGAACGGGCATTCAGCTCAGCCTCTGTGCACGGAGGGGCCACGGGTTCCTCTCAGCAAATGGCCATGGAAGACTCCGCCCCCACAGCAGACGCACCCCCCCATGCATGTGCCGGGGGCCCTGCTTGAGGGCCTGGCCCAATTCCTGCAGAAAGACCTCCCCTCCAGCCCCCGAGTGGCTGGCCGGCCCGGCAGCTCTCAGGCCGACGGCTGAGGGGCGCCGCAGTGAGCCGGGGTGCCCTGCATGGCGTCCCTTCCAAAGCCGCCTCTGAGGCAGCAGGCGCGTGCAGAGTGTTTTCCCTCGCGCCCCCTTTTGGGCCGTGCATTTCCCGTTTTGTGAGGGGGGGTGCCCAAGGGGCCGCCCTGCACAAAACCAGTTGTGAGCAATGGGGAGGATTCCAGCGCAGGGATCAAGGCCAGCACTTCGGATTCGGGATGAGTTGCTAACCAGGTCCCTCTTCGCTCAACAGGCGGAGAGACGGGACAGCAGCGAATGGGGATGCCACTGGGGTGGACAGGTGGTTCCAGGCGGGATTAGCCACCCAGCCTCTCCCCAGGCTGCACACTCATCTCTTCCCCAGGCAGGAACGGGGCACAGGTGGTGGGATCGGAGGGGTGGCAGGCACGCCCAGTGGTGAAAGCAACGGCTGCGGCACCGGGCATCCGGAGCCTGGCGCTCTCAGCCCCCTGCCAAGCGCCCTTGTGGGTCAGCCGCATCTTTTCCAGAGCGCGGGAAGAGCGGATGGATAGTGGTTTTTAAGTAGGCAGGACTGTCATCGGATTGCCATGGCAACCAGCGGCGGTGGCATTGTTCTATTTAAAGGGGAAACAAATGCGAGGGGCTCCGTGGGAGGGGGCTGCTTGCTCCTGGGGGGCAGCTGGGGGGGAGGAGGCGAGTGGCACCCTCCCTGCGCCACTGAGCCACATGGGGAGGGTGGGTGCGGGATTCCTCAGGGATCCCACTTCTCCAGCCTCTCGGACCGGCAGGCCAACCCCCTGGCACCGGAGGGATAGCGGGCACGCTCGCGAAAGACCCGCTGCAGGGGCCGTAGGGCAAGGGGCCCTTCGGGCAGCGCTCGCTCTCTGCCCACCGGTGCCGCCATCTCGGTGGCAGGGATGCTGGTGAGTGCGGCGGACGTGTGTCGCCAGCATCCGGGCTTAATGACCTGGAGTTTAGCGCTGAGGGCTTGGGAGGAGCCTGCAAAGCATCCCCATGCTGCAGAGCCCTGTGAAGGAATAAGAGCGGCCCCTCTGAGCATGTGCAGAGTTCTTTTCCCTCAAGACAGGATGCTGCAGCCAGCTCTCTTGAGCACGATTATCACCGTTGCTTGGGAGGCCTGGGTGTGAAATGCTCAGCTGAGCCTTCAGCTTTGGCAGCAAAGTTCGATCTTGCTCTTTGCCCCAGCATCCCCCCCCCCCCCCCAAATCCGTAGCAGATGGACTGGGAATAAAGGTGCGAAGAGGGACGGGCAGGCTGGCTCCCGGAAAGGACAGGAGACATTTATGATGACTTTAGCCACCATCCTGAGTGAACCTGTTTCCATGGAGACGCACCATCCATTGCCGTTGTGGGTTTTTTGTGAGTTATTTTTTAAGCAGGGTGTTGGTGGGGGAGACATATGTAGGTTCTGAAGGCTGGACATAGATTTGGGGGTGGGCGGGGGATGCCAGGCTTGTGGGTGGGGGCATTCTTTGGAGCCGAGGATGGGAAAGGAGGCCTTCTTGTTCCCCGGGAATTTTCCCCATCCCGCAAAGCACTTTCTCCGTGCAGTCGTTCACGCTGAAATAGACCCCCAGAGACTTTGGGGGACACGCTGACCGCCAGGGGAGAGGGAAGAGGCATTGTGGGATCCCAGACTTTACAGAAGGCGGAAAGCTTCCGAGGGTCTCATCCCAAAGCAGAGCACCCTGGAGCCCAGCCCAGCCCAGCCCAGCCCAGCCCTCCGGGCCTCACCCCACTGCCCCCCATTCCTCCCCTGGCCCTGCGTGCAGTGGCACAACCCTGCAGCGCCGGGCTTCCTCAGCCACGCCGCTTCCGTGCCCCCCTGGCCGTCAACCCCGTCAGGAGCCAGCAAGACCCGAAAGGCGGCTGCACGCGCACACACGTTCTGGCGGCAGTTCACGCGTGCGCACACCCGAGGGAGAGGGCCGGCACGGGCACGCGTGTGTGTGCCGGGTAAGTGCAGGGGCCTGGCGGGGAGGGGTGCTCAGCTCCGGTGCTTTGAGGAGGACTCCCGTCAGCGCCTCAGCTGCATGAGGCCCTGCGGCACCTCCGTCCGTCCGCCGGGCACCCGCCTGGCTCCCTTCCCATCCAGTGGATACTGGGGCTGACACGGAGCGTTGGGCTTGTGCCCCATTTGTGGGCTTGCTCGGAGCAATTCTTTGTCCGGCTTGAATCCGCAGCTGCTTTGCCTTCCTGGATGACACGAAGCCCTAGTATTATGAACGGGGGTGACGGGGACATGGCTCCTACCCCCTCGGTCATGCCCTCCTCCGGACGCAACATTCTTCGGAAGAGCCCAGATGTTGTAGGGTTTTTTCCCTCCGCTCTGTGGGATGCTGCTGTTTCCAGCCCCGCAGGAGACGTGTGCAGGGTGCGTGTGCAGAGGGCAGCATCGAAATAGCCAGGCAGCCTCTTGTGCAGGCAATGCAACCGGCCACCTTTGGCAACCGTCCAGACCAGCCGACTCTCAGTGATGAGCGTGTCGGGCATCCGGCTGCTGCCGCCGCCTCCTCGTGTGCCTTAGAGCTCGGCTCACGGGCTGCTCATCAGGGCCCACAGTGGAGTCAGCTGACAGGAGCCCAAGGATAAATGCGGACGGGTCTTCTCGGTAGGCAAAAATAACGTTTTCATCTACCCAGTGAAAAACCAAATTGTGCAGACAGCAAAAAGGGCCTCCCTGGTCTGAAATCACCGTTATAAGTCAGGTGAAGACAACCCGTCCCTTCGGTGGCATGATATTCGAGAACATCCTGTGTGGGCATGTTGTCTTTTTAGCATATAAACCATATTTCTTCTGTGAGAACCCCACACGGTAAGCTAAAAATCCATACTGCAGGCTGTGGGGAGCCCCTAGAGAAAGAGGTTGAATAAGCAAGCGTCTTGTCCTGCAGGGTAGCACTTTGATCCTAGGGGAATTTTTAAATTCCAAACACTTCCACACAGCTTAGATAAAGCATATCTTGTGCAGTCCTGCGTGATTTTAGACTTCACTGACATGGAACTCCCCGAGACGGAGAATTCTGGTGCGGCACGCCTTCTCTCGGCAGTAATGTGCCAAGTGAAGCGCCTTGAGGAAAGCCACCAAAGGGGTGGGGACAGATTTGCCCCCGGTCTCTGGCTCTCCGCGTGAAGTCTGATCTCCCCCCTGCTCTCTGGGTGAGGATAGCCAAGGTCTTCCTCATGTTGCCGTGAAAGATTGGTGCTGGCACGCTACCCCCTCAAATCTCACTATGCGGAGGCCTTCTCGCGGAGGAAGGAGAGACGAGAAGCAAGGCCACCGCGTCAGCGAGCGCTTCCTTCCCCTAAACGTTCCCAGGCATTCATTACATGAGATACCATTCGGCTTTAAGAACCGGGACCCTGATCACTCCCCGCAACACTTCCCTCCGTCGCGTTTTCTTTTATCTTTTGTCTCTTAGATTGTAAACCTGCCTGCAGGAGTGGTCTCAGTTTTGCTATCGATCTCACAGAAGCTGCTCTGGGAGGCTTTTCCGTTGAAGTGCAGGGTGAAAACGCTTTGCATAAATTAAATGAATGGGTGCATCGGGTCAGTTCCTCCACCACGTAAATCTGCACAGGCTGGGAACCAGTGGCTGGCAGAACAGAATAGGATAAGGGATGGACGGGGAGCAACACGGAGCTGCCCAAGTCTTTCTGGCAATGTCGCCCATCGGCAGCAACATGGTATTTTCCCACCGTTTCCTTCATGCTCATGTGATCTGGAAACGTGGTTTCCCAGAAGCAGAGGTGTTCCCAGATGGCACAAGAGAATTGGATCGTGTGCCAGTCGGAGGCCCAACTTCCTACAGCAGGTCACTTCCCAGATTCCCATCCAGACCAGAAACCAACATCAAGTAACGTCACTTAGTAGACCACTTCCCCACCAGCTCCCCGTCTGCACTTCTGTCCTTCCATGAGCAAAGCACTCAGCAAAAGGTGAGGCAGGTGGCTTTAATCGCATTTCAGATCCATCTGGCTAGTAGATGGAAGGATGCTCTCTCCATCTATATAAACGAAGCAATAATTAGAGCCCATCTCTGGAGGACAGAAATCCCTCCGGGTGCCATCGCTCTCCCCCCACAAGGTCTCCAAGGGATGATAGATCTCCAAAGTACGGCACTTTCCTGCCAGGGACAATCCATCTCCCGTCTTTTTGGGCAGTAACAGCACCGCAGCGGTTTAATAACTCTCGCCAGTCTAATATTTCTCTCTAAAGTCTTTTTTCCTTCGACTCATCTTTCTTTCTCTCCCCACTTTTTCTGACTCCTCCTTTCTCCATAAGGATCGCTCTAATCTGGTGATGCTATCAATTGTTCTCCATTATAGGCAAGTAGTTGTCTCTGGGAAGCACAGGGTGGAGGTGGCCCTGCTCCATCTCCATCAAAGGCATCCCCCGCGCATAAATTTAGCCATCACAGTTTTTAGGCAGGGAGAGGACTCACCTCCTCCTGGAACTGGCAGGCCCCTTTTGCCAACCCCGTGGCTCTTTGCCATGGCACCCTCATGGTGACGGGTTCTCTGTGCCGTCCAGGAATTCACTGCCACAAGAACAGCCTCTGTTAATTGCACATGAGAGAAAGGTGGAGCCCAGGTTGATTGTGCGTGTGATAGGAAGCGTTTCCTTTGCATTTGTCCTGTCAGCAATCTGGGTCCCTGGTTCTGCCCAAATGCTGATGTGTCAGCACAAGCAGGAGGCCTGATGAGTCCCAAGGCCTGGAGCCGGGGCGGGGTCGGGGGGGGACCCAGCATGTGGCTGGGTAGCTTGAGGAAGAGGAAGGCGAGTAGAGAGGGCTCTCCCAGGCACAGAGCTTGGCTGGGAAGACACAGTTAAAGTGGGCTGGTGCTGGTCCAACGGCCAAGTCTGACCCTTTACTGGGATTAGCACCTTCAGGAGCAAGAAAGAGCTGCAGAGGAATTAACCCCAATGGAGAAGCCACGCAGGGAGAGAAGGGAAGGACACCTCTCTGCCCTGGTTCAAAGCAGGGGACACGGGCAGTAGCTTTTTCTGAAAAAAGATGGCGGGCAGTCCTAAGCTCACTCTTAAAATGCTGCTTAATGTGTAATTTAGCCCTAAATAGGTGTGATAACATGGGGAGCTTTCTGCCCTGAAATTTTAAGTAGCTAATGCAGTCATGAAGAACAGAGCCAAAGGCCCCCTGTGCTGACTGGGACATGCTGGCTCTGTCTTTCCCAGGTAGCAAGACAGAGGAGGGGGGTGGCAGTATAAACATCACTGCATGGAGAACCTGGGACAGGGAAGGAGCACAGCCCCACTTGCTGGGCCACTGTCTCCATCCATTGCCCTGCCTACCCTTTTCGCTCTGCCTGCATAGCAAGGCGAATGGAAGTGTGTAACAGGAAAAGCAATTCCCTTCCTCACCACCCATGGGCTTACAAAACTTCAAGCTGTCTCTCATCTTTACAGTGCAATCCTATATGCTTCTACCAGGGGGAAGCCCGATCAAGTACAACGAGGCTTTTTCCTAGAAAAGGGAGTACCGAAGTCCAATCTTCATTGTATTTTTAAATAAAGCTCAGCTTATTAAGCTGCCAGAAAGATACTGTTCTCCAGCTGCCCTTTCATTTGCCTTTTCTTGACCTTCAGGAGCCACTTTGGCTATGCATTCCTGGGCAAATTATATTTTGTCAGGCTCGGTTTGCCCTCTGTAAAAAGGGAGTTTTACTGAGCTGGTGCAAGGACTGACAAGACCAAATAATTACATGGCAAATGATAGGAATCAAGTCCATTTGCTCTGCTGTTGCTAACTGGCATCCTCTCCCGCCACTGCTGTGCCAAAAGGAACCTCAACACAAACCACCTCAGGACACCCCCCCCCCCAAAAAAACCCAGGGCTTTAGCAGCGTGAGAGTGGCCTGGGTGCTTCCATTTCTGAGCCACGCATAGCAGCCCTACAAGATTGCTGCGGGAATTTCAAGCAGGTGTGCCGTTACTTGGGTAACAGTCTTGCAGCAGTTTGAAAAGCTGCACCTGCTGAAATTCACCCAGCTGCCCAACTATTCAAGATGTATGAGGCCTCACCTTGAAAGCCTGGCCAGCCCATAATAGAACTTGACGGAGAACATCTGGCTGTCCTGTCGCCTTGCCAGCACCCTTCCAATGGGCAGAAGGCGCCACCAGGTGGTGACAGGCTGCGCAAGCGGAAAACTGGCCCAAGAGCCGCCTTTCCTGGGCTGTTTTGCCTCCAGGAGGGGCTAGCCAGGCGCCCCTCCCTGGGTGAAGACACAATCTCAGCACAAACAAGGCAGTTGGAAAAGAAACCCCGATCAATTACTTTATTTCATTTCCAGATGCTGTCTGAACCAGGGGAAGGAAAGGGGTGATGGTGGAGGTTGAATGAATGCTCCATTTCCCCATCTGCCAGGTACACCCACCATGTGATGATCTCTCTGAAGCAAGGACGAGGGCAAGATTGCAGGTGTTGCTGTGGGCGGGAGCAGAAGCAGCGTTCCAGCAGGCCCCTCCAGATTATCCTGCCAATTAGCGGAAAAAGGCCAGGCGCTCTTTCAGCCATTGCTCTGTCAGATCCTCTGTGGACCGGATCTCAAAGACCTGACAAGACAGAGAACGAGAGTCAGGCGGGAGAGACTGGCCCGAATGCCTTTAATGATCCTTCCATGCCTGCTCCGAGCAAGCGGAAGTGGGCAGAGCCATCATCTGAAGGGGCTGGGTACAGCTTCAGACAGCCAGTGTTGTCGGATCTCTGCCTGCATTCACTCTACCGCTACCAGCTAGCTTTTTGCTGAGCATCACGCAAGCTGGACACTCTAAGGAAAAAGGAGTCACTTCTGCTGACGGAGGCAACCAGGGGCTGCTGACTGGGGGCGGGGGAGGCCGCAAACCACCGAAGCGAGCGGCTGGAGCAGCCCACATGCCGTGGCACTCCTGGTGTGCTGAGCACACAGGTAGGGCGGGTGGTAGAACTGCCCGTTTCAACAGCAGAGGCAAAGAAGTTGCCTGAACACGGGTGTCTGTTCCATGATCCCAAATGCCAACGAGTGGCTAAAACATTTTCTGGAATAAAGGACGTTCTCCAAAAATTATAATAATCTGATAGCCTTTCTAAAAAACCCTGGGGTGTGCAAGCAAATGTGGCTGTGCAAGGAGGGTATGGAAGACCTTGAGGGGTGGGTGGCCCCTGGGCAGAGCTGGGGACTTGGCTAGAGGACTGTCTACTCACAAGCCAGACAGTGCGCATGCACCCTGAAGCATGCCAACGGAGCCGGAAACAAGACGGCTGCGTAAGAGCATGGGAAGCGGCCTTGGCCAGGGTCAGGCTCTTGGTTGCTCATGGCCAGCAGGGACAAGTCAAGGATTCAGGCGATGTTTTTCCACGAGTTGCTGGGGATCAAACGAGGACTGTTCTGCTCGCAAAGGACTGCTTTCCCACATATGGCCCTTTCCTGTGACTGCCTTGGAAAGTTGTGACCCCAGCTTTTTGGGGGTTTGTCTTGGAACTGAACGCAGGCGTCACAGCACTCAGACCAGGGGTCCCACACCAACCAGCCGGGCATGGGCATAGAGAAAGGAGGTGGTGAAAAGAAGCCGCAGCCTCATCTCCTGTATCACCGGGAACTTAAAGGTACATGCATGTTCTATGGGCTGCAAATTGACTTTCTGGAAGAAAGACTGAAATGAAGTGGTAAAACAATTCCATGAGGGGAGCTCTGACTGAGTGAGAGGGCAAAAGCAATCCCAAGAGGATTAGGGGGAAGATTGGAGTTGCAATACCTTGGTGAACTCTGCTGCCTGCACCAGCCTGTTCTTGCTCCCAGCGTACATCATCTGCTGCTCTGGCTTGCACCCTGGGAGAAAAGAGGGGAGCTGCTTCCGTATTTCTGAGTATTTTTCCTTATCTCACTCAAAGCCCCTTATAGCAAGTTGTAGAATTCGCAGCCACTCAGAGGTGGGGACAAACCCTACTAAGTCCATGCACCCAGTCTGTGCAACAGAGGTGGGGCACGAGCCCAAATCACCCCAGGGCTGGGAGCCCGGCATGATCTCCCCACAACAAAACCACTTCATAACGGAAAAAATGTGAGTGGTATTTAAAATCGTTTTAATGTATAGCACTTTCATTGTCGACTGGACTATAGACTGGTAGCCTGGCAGGGCCCTAAGAATAAGCACCAGCATCCACGGACTGGTGTTCACAGATCCACTCAGAACTTGTGCAATTGTCCTCCTCGGGCACCAAACCCATCGTCAGGTTGGACAGAACCCAGGAATCCAGCCCCTTCTCCAACCCACCGGAGGGGTCGCGGGTTCTTACCAAGCGGGCTGCAGAAGATGAAGCAGAGTGGGTAAGAGATCCGGCCATCCGCGTGGACGTATTTATAGCTGTAGGCTATGAACGTAAACAAACATGCAGTCAAGGAAGCAACTGGGCAGAAGGAGCCTGCTCTGCTTGTCTCCACGGATGGAGATATGGGGCACAGCTCCACTTTGGCTGTCCAGGGGGGCCTGGCCCACCCGCCCCCTTCTCAGAAGCATTTGGCTTGCTTCTTGTGAAGTGTACGATCAGCTGCAAACCCATTTCCCACCATGTTGAGTGTCAAAGGCCACAAGTCCCCCAGGACTGAGCTTCCTAGGCCAAAAACACATTTGGATCCCATATATATATAAAAATCCTGTTACTTCACTTGCTTGGGAAATCAGAGACAAGGAATCAATTTTTCCCTTGAACCTTTTACATGTTGCCACTGTGTTAATCCCCTCCCTACTGTGTGAGCGGCATCAAAGGCTTTGGCAATGCTGTTCATTCCTGTATGCCTTGTTCTTAAAGAGCAGCTGGAAGGAATGGCTGAGCGGTGCATCAAAGAAGAATTCTCCAGTCTCTATTGTGGTTGCCCGAGGGAGGAGGAGGCTCAAGACTCCTTTGCCGGTGAGCCAGTGGAGGCGCTAATGCCGATGGCTGACCATTGTTGGGTCCAAAATATGGTCCAGGATTGGCAAACCCAGGGCCTGAGAACATAAGGAGAGCCCTACTGGATGAGACCAAATGCCCAGCATCGTACTTCCCAGAGAGGTCAGCCAGCTGGAGGCCTCTAGGTCACTCAAAACGCAGGGTTTGAAGACCATGGGCCCCCTCCCTGGTTCGAATCCAGCACTCAGTGCTACAAGCCTGCCTCTGAGCACAGAGGTTCTATTTAACCACTGGAGCAAATAGCCATTAACAGAATTTATCTAATCCCTCTTTAAAGTCCCCTAAGCTTCTAAGAATCACTGCATCTTGTGGCATAAAATTCCATAAACTATGAGCTGTGTGAGGAAGGTCTATGCTTTGCCTGTCCTGAAACCAGGCCAGGTGGGTGTGATTACACATGGAATGAATTTGGTTCCCTTTCAGCCTGGACTAGGATATCGGGGCTGGCGTTCTGGAAGTTCACTCTTCAGCTCCTCTGGAGAGATGTCCTGTTGAAGGAGGTCACAAAAAGGTGCATTATTTTAAGAATATCTAACCAAGAACAGCGGGAAGAAAGACACAAGATTTGTTCCTCCTCTCATACACATACACAAACTGCACATGACTTTGTAAAAACTGAATCAAAAATAGGAAAGGGACAAAGGCCACTGACTCGTCCAGTAAGAAATGGGGAGAGTGATATATGGAAAAAGAACAGCATTTTGAGCAGGTAAACATGAGAAAACCAAACACCTTGTTTAAAACTCTGGGTCTGCTATAGAATTATTTAAGGGTTGCTAGACAACCCCTGCTACCTAGATTCAGACAATATGGCAAGCTGTGATACCCACCCCCCAGCTGGGGCTGAATATTGAAAATGGCTGCTGGCCTGCACTGTAACACACCGCAGCTTAAATTGATGACTCTGGGCTGGGGTAATCGTGTGAAGCGGCCCAGAGCTGCTGGGACTCTTCAGTGAATGTGGCAGCAGAGTAAGGATTTGAACCCAGGAGTTGCTGTTCCAGCACTCCACTGACTCCATCACCCTGGCCATCTCTTGTCAAGCATGGGGCCCAGCTGCTTGGAAGTGGGTGCCATCACCTGGATGCAGGTGACAGATCTCTCACAGGAGGTGACAAACTCTCTTAGGGCTGGTCCTCTGCTCAGGTCTTGTTTCTGACACTCTGGAAAGCTGCAACCAGATTGATTCACAAATGCTGATGCTTGCTTGTCACTCCTGACAGTGCTTATAAGGGAAGTTGCGTGACCTCTGCTTCCCCCTGACTGCTGACAGGTTTTTGCTTTCTCTGCAAGTGTGGGGCGGAGGCCCTCTCAGTGCTTTCAGCAGATATGAAATTGGGCATAAATATGGGGGAAAGGCTCTCTCTCTCTCTCATTTGCATTGAAGAGTGTCGCTCTGCGCTGCCTTGTGGTCTGGCTTCTGCTTTGCTCAAGGAAAGGCTCACAAGTTCATTTCCTCTGAATTAGCCCATTATCTAATCCCCTGATGTAGCCAAGTAGGCACCAGGAACCCTCTAATGAACTGGCACAAGCACAGAATTTTCCATCGCTTAAGATCGGCAAGGTAGCTGGGAGGGATCAGCAGTACCGGGCGAGGCAACATCCTGTGTTCCTCTTCTGAAACGGCTGCACTGTTGACACCGTTCACCACAGAACTAAACCAAGCAGGTAAAATAAGGAGGCAACTGGAAGTCTTCTGCTGAGCACCTAGGAACACATTTTCCTTTACTCCTGGCCTTTCTGCCTGGACTGAGCTCCAGCAGATACCAGCCCTGCGAATGATGCTTCCTAGATTTTCTGGAGCAGGGAGAGGGAAGGCTATTTGGATGTGGAAAGGGCCTGCTGGGCCAGGCAAGCTTACAGTAAAATAGTTCAGCAGTGTAAATAGCTGAAAAGTGTGATTTGAAACACACAATTAACATTTGAACCCCACACTACAAAATGAATTGTATCTAGCCACCGATGGCCTTAGGATAACCTAACTAGGGGACCGTTTAGAAGCTTCACTTTCCTGCCTCATTCTAATCTCCCATGTTTCAGCCAGTCACTTGCCAGTCACTTCGTATTTTGAGAAATGGAAGGGGAGGTTTTCCACAGAATCCCTCCAGTCTCTGTTTGGCTAAGCACAACAGACTGGAGATTCCACACTGTCATTTGATTAACGTTGCACTAATGTGTGTGAGAGCTGCATAACGTATTGAATTAAATATGAAAGCAAATGACGCCATCAGTGCATCGCTCCCCTGAGATATTAAATTTGATCTGAAATTCAATTTGCCTTGAGCCCAGCCTCGTAATTTCTAACGTACTGGCAAAATTTATGTCAAGTATGCATGAATGTGAAGTGGAAGAGTTGACGCAATTTCTTTCGGGAGAAAGTGATGTCGCTTTGTGTCAGATCTAGGCAGTTGCTTGAAGCACTGGGAGTTCAGTCCTTGGCATGTACTTAATGGAAGGGAAGTGGAACCTGTGTGTGTGTGTGTGTGTGTGTGTGTGTGTAAGAGAGAGAGAGAGAGCGCGCAAGCATGGGGGAGAATGAAAAAGAGAAAAAACGAAATAAGGAAACAGGCTAATTACAGTTTCTTTCCCCTTCCAAAATGACAGATATTTGAAATTTAGGTTCACCACTTTCCCCACATTACTAGAAGATATGCTGGGGGTAGAGGCACTTGTTCCTCTTCATATTTGTTCGTAATACAGATTACTATTTTTTTCTTCCAAAAATACTTTAGAAAAGTTCTCACTTTATATTCATGACAAAGTATGTGGTTTATGATTTTTTATTTATAGCTTGCCTTTCCACTAAGAAAATGGTACTTAAGGTCGGCTCAATTCCCCTCTAGCTTTCCTCTAGAATTCTTCATGGCTATAACTACCCACAATAGAAAACATATTGGTTTATGTATTTATTCTTTTTCTTGTTCTTTTACTCTCTGCATATTGGTATCGTACTATAACTTATACATGTTTATCTTGTAAACTGCTTAGAGATCTCAGAATAAAAAACTAGTATAAAAATCTATGGTTCAAATCTACTACTTCCCGCAGGTCTTATTGGCTTGTGACCTCAGGAGGGGACTTACCCTGCTCTGTATTGTGTGACCAGCAGTGAGTCATCTGGAGCCATTTGCACTGGTTTGCAATGCTGTTTATAGCTTTGAGCATGTGAATGACCCTGTGCTACACCAGTGCAAAGCTAATCTGACTAAATGCCTGCAGATCTAAATTGTGATTTTTTAAAACCTCGGTGGAATTTGGAAGTTTAAAATGGGAAAATTCTCTTCACTCCTAATTTTTAAAAACAAAATAACCGTTTTGGCCTACCTGGAATTCTTCCTCCAACACCACCAGTTGCCTGTCTTTGTCAATCTTCACTAAAGGCAGAGGAGACGTAAACCTATTAGTGTTTTTTCACTTCCATTTCTACAAAGATCTGGCTACCCCAGCATCCCAACGCTGCTTGTCCTTCTCAACTCTTCCTACACCCCTCTGATGGAAAAGGGTGGGGTGAAAATGCATCCATATCTGCCCTCCCGCCCCTTGAGATTGGCGGCAGATGTCCTTCTCCGGGAGCCCTCCGTGAAAGATATTAGGAGGGTGAGTACCCGGAGGAGGGCTTTTTCTGTGGTGCCGCCCCACCTATGGAACGCGCTCCCCAGAGAGGTCCGCCTGGCGCCGTCGTTATTTGTTTTTCGGCGCCAGGCCAAGACCTTTTTATTTAAATGTTATTTTAACTGTTGATTTTATTTACTGATTTTAAATCTGCTACCAGGATGTCTCCAGTATTTTGTTTAGAAATGTATTTATTTATGTATTGGAAGCCACCCCGAGGCTTAGGCGAATGGGGCGGCATGCAAGTTGTCCAAATAAATAAATAATAAATGATACCAATCCGGGCTTCCCTGCCACCGAAGCACCCAGTGAGCAAGCTCATGGTGAAGGGCTCTGTTCCTCTTAATTTTCATCAGAATGATGAAAGATTAACTGAAGCGAAGGATTTCCTATACAGGTGACAACAGAAGTTTGATAAGCATGAAGACTGCTTTAATGCCATGCACCTGTATCCGCAGCGCATTGCTGGCTGGCATGCCACAGGCTTCTCAGGTAAAAAAAACATGAACACCACTCTGCTAGAGAAGGCTCTTTTCTTCTTTTCTTTCTAAAACACTCCCTGATGAAATACTTGAAGTGCCTGAAATGCATCGAGAGCCACCTTGAACTCAACTGCTTTGGATAACTGGTTAGTGTCACTTTTGATAGTGAGTGTGCCCAGCTGCTTTGCATTGATAAGCATGTTAAACTATGACAATGTGGCCCCATTTAAGGAAAACTGCAGACAGCGTACAAGATGGCAACTCACTAATAATGGCTGCATTGTTCGTCTCCTTCCGGAACCGGAACTTCTTCAGCTTCTCTGTCAGCTCCGGATCCACGTCACAGACAACTAGAGAATCTGACTGCAAAGGAAAGAGCAATCTGGATTTCCGCCTCCATTCTTGTACATTTGATTCCTCATTATCATTTCCTATTCTTGAAGACCACTACTGTATAGTCTTATCTCCTCTGGAACATAAACTGTCTAGTTTTGTTTGGATTGTTCAGCTTGCCCTGCGCTCAAACAGTGGGGTTCAAATCTAGCTGCAAAAGCTTTGTCCAAATGAAAAGGCTTTCTATACACCTGACTCATGATGTGAACAAAGCTCAGGCCCCCTTTCCCCTCTCCTCCATCTGCATAGTAAGAATAGAGAGGAAAACTTGGATTTTATATTTAACTAACCACTGTTTGTTAGTCAGGACAAGCAGTGATTATTCTCAGCTAAGGTTCACGAAACAAACCAACCTAGTTTATGAAGCTACTTGTTACCCTAGACTATAGCTAAGATTAGACACAGTTTAGAGTTCAGACATAACAATAAACTGAAGCTAATTGAAAGGGAAAGGGAAAGCTCCCAATCTCCATTTGGCTGCACCAAAGGAGAGGGCAGTAGAGCCTGCACTATAGCTACTGAATTGTGCTATCTAATGTTACATCCAAAGCAGGCCATTGTTCCCCAGGCGCACTCCTGCTTTTCATCTTATTCATTTTTAATACCAATTGTATAGAGCCAACATGGTGTAGCGGTTAGGATGTTGGACTGGAAACCAGCAAATCCCACTCGGAGTCCCCACTCGTCCAAGCAGGTCACTGGATGCCGCTGGGCCAATCAGTGACTCTCAGGATAACCTACTTCTTAGGGCTGTTGTGGCGATAAAATGTGGGGAGGAGGGTTACGCAAGCCGCTTTGGGTTGCTTGCACTAATGAAGCTGGAATAATCATAGCAACAACAATATATTAAATCTTAACATCCTAAATTGCTATGCAGCTCATGACAAGGGTTCTTGACTAAGCCCATCTGGTGATTATTCAGATTCCTCACAAAACCTTTTTCTATATGGATGTTGCTTTATCATCTCAGCACTTATTTCCAGCTATAGCAACAAAGCGTAATTATGATGCAACGTTCACTGGCCACGGCCTTCCCTCCCCACCTTCCCTCTTCCTGTTTCACTGTGTCTGTTCTTGATTGCATGCTCCTTTGCAGTGGGAAACGGCCTATGCAACTTTAAAGCGCCTGTTACACCGATGACACACTATAGAGATCATCTACCGCAGCATGCAGACGTGCAGGTCTGGAGCTGCCCTGGAACGAATACAAGGTGGAGGAGCCGCTGCTGGACTGCATCCGGTGGCCCTGCAGCCCTCTGACCCACACGCCTCACTCTCTCCCCCAAGCGACTGCTGACCTGTCATCCAGTCACAAGACTGGCAGGGGTCCAGCGGACCGGCTGTGCCAGCTCCTGGCCTCAGCCAGGGTATCTATCGTGCACCTGCCAGCCATGCCCAGAAGAAACCTGCCCAGTCTCTTCGACAGTTGCTCGAGAAGCGGAGATTCGGCAGGCTCCGACGGCAGCCCACTCCAGGGTTAAACAGGCTGCGCCAGGACCAGCAGCATCTTCCTCACCCTGAACAAAAACCTTCCCTGTGCTTTTGAGCCCCCCGCTCCCACTGCAGCGCCAAGCAGTTTCTTCCTGCTGAATTGCTGATCTCCGGATGCAGCTCACAGGCCACAGGGAAGCTCGCGCGTGTCCGCCGGCTGTCAGCCCGTGGCCTCCCCCGCCCCATTCCTGAGCCCGGCCGGGAACTGTTTGCGCTGACCATCCTGCCTCCGCGGGCCGGCGTCCGGCAGCCCCCGACTCCGCGCTCTCCCTCGCGACCAGGTGTGCAGCCCGCCGATCTTTTGCTCGGCACACGCTCCGTACGCTGCGGAGGAAAGGCCGCGGGGAGGAAGTCATTGCCAACGATGGGGTGGAGCGTAGAGAGGTGCAAGCCGTTTGCATGCTCAGCTGCAAAAAGAGAAGTGCTGCCAGGAAGCGCCAAGATGGCACCCTTCCTCCGGCGTGCAGGAGTCGCCGCAACGGCTGTGCCTTCCAGCGGGCGCCCGGGGCCCCTGCGGCCGGGCCGATTCAGGACCTCGCTTCGAAATCAACCCAAGCAAGGCTAAAAGCGGCCCAGGCCCAGGCAGAGGCACCGGGACAGCCAGACCGGGCCCACGGACCACCCAGAAGTGCCTCTTTCGAGGAGGGGGTGCTTGGACCTCGAAAGCTGGCCATTTTGTACGAATTTTCTGATCCAGCAAAGCAAAGGGGGGCTTCCCAGCTAGATGCCTTCGAGAAACTCTCAGGGGGGCGTGGAGGTGATGGCCGCCATCCCCTCGTACGCCCTGGAACAGGAACGGGAATTTTCTCGAAGAGGAGGCCTTCTCTGGGCATCAGAGGTCTTCTCAGTCACGGCGGCAGGAAGCAGAAGAAGGACCTTGCCTTCGTGCCCCGCGGGTGGCCTCCCTCACAGGGTTGTTGTGCGGGTAAAGCGGAGCCCAGCAGGACCCATGCTAGGGCAAGAGATAATACATAAGCCACTCGCTTCTCCTCAGTTTCTCGGGCCCGTAAAATGGACACAAATAGCAGCGGAAGCACCGGCATTTCCTTAGGATTTTCGTGCAAGCCTCGCACTGCCTGGCCTTGTTCCGCTCCTGCCCCAAATCCAACGGTTTTGCATTTGCAACTCTTTCTGGAATCGCTGTTAGAGCCCGCATGCCTCAGGGGCGTTTTTTCGGTTAGCCACTCGAAGACTCTTTTCCCTCTTCAATAGGAGAAACGGAAACAACAAAAAGCAACCACATAGCAGCAGCAGTCCCTCAGACAGTGGCCAAGATTCATACTTCTATTTAGTGTTTGTGTGTGTCATAACTAGTCTACTGGAGTTGTTTTCTTGCTGCTTTGCCTTCCGCGCGCGTTTGGCAGAAAACGTTTCTCAGTGTTATGAGGCGTTGTTGACATACTCTTGAAGCGCAGGCCTATGCAAGTTTAGTCAGAAAAAAACGCCTACAACTCCCAGCATGCCCTAGGAAGCGATGCTGGCTGAGGCATGCTGGGAATTGTAGGCCTTTCTGGTCAGCCTGGGCCGGCGCCCGTGGCGGATGTTGTGGTGGGAGGGGACGCTTTGGGCGGGAAAACAGGGCCGGGGGCGCGGCGAGCGACGCGCTGAGGCCACGCCTCCTCACTCCCCCTCGCCCCCCCGCCTCGCTCCGCGGTTTCGCATCCTCTCATTGGCAACTCGGGAACAGCCTTCCCACCATCAGCTCATTGGCGGATTGGACAGGAACACCCCCGAGCAGAACGAGCGGAGGGGATTGGAGGAAGAGGAGCCCCAGCGGCGGCGGCGGCGGGAGGCGGGACTAGGCGAAGCATTCCGCTCGGGGTTTTTGACTGGGCAGGGAAGTTCCTCTCCGCTCGCTCGCTCGCCCGCTCGCCCGCTCGCGCGTCGGGGGGGAGCGAAAGAAGCAGCTGCCGTTCATTGGTCGAAGGCCTTCCCTCCAGGTCGGGCCCGCGCAGCGCCAGCCACTGGAGACGCGAGCCGAGTGACGTCGGCCGGGGGCGCGAGCGGCGTCCGACGCGCGCCGTGCGTGCGTGCGTGCGTGCGAGCGGCAGGGTGCGTGCTTGCGTTGGCGTGCGTTGTGACGTCGCGCGCCGCCCTCTGGAGTGTGTGGTGCTGGTGGTGGTTGGCGCTCCGTGTGTGTGCGTGTGCGCGTGTGCGCGAGTGCGGTGCGTGTCCCGCTCCCCGTGGGCAGGGGCTGGAGTGGGCCGCGGCGACGGTGAGTGCGGCTGCGGGCGCGGGCGGGGGAGCGGCGGCGAGCGCGGGCCTCCTGCCCCCTCGGCCCCCGCCGCCCCTCCCCCGCGCCCTCAGGAGGCGAGGGAGGCCCCGCCCCCGGGGGCCGCGTTGGAGACGGACACGCCCCTCCCCGGACCCCCTCGCCCGCCCCCGCCCCCCCGCAGCGGGAGGCAGGACGGGGCTGCGCCCCTCGGTCGCGCCCCGCGCCCCTCGCCCGCCGCCCGCTTGCTTCGAGGGGGCTTGCAGGGGGCTGCGGGCCCCGGGGAGGCGGTCCGGGGGCGCTGCCCCTCCGCGTCGGCGATGCGGGAGGCGAGCGACGGGGAGGCGCCGGCCCGCCGCGAGCCCCTGGGCTGATCCGCAGGCCTCTCGTCGAGCCGCCTCCCCCGCTCGCCTGCCTGGCCTTGTGGCTGGCGCCCCTCGCCCCCCCCCCCCAAAAAAGGGGGGGGGTCCGGGGCTTTTTTTCCGGGGGGGGGGGGGCTGGTAGCGCCAGGCGTATAGGCCGGAGCACTAGCATCCCGGCAGAGGTCCGTGGCTTTTGCTCCCGTGAGCTCGGCGTGTTGTTCCCAGCTCTGATAGCTGGCACTTTCTCTTCACCCCCTCTCCCTCTGCTGCGAAAAACGCTTAATACGCTTAATGTGGAGGTTCAATACCCCTCTCCTTCCTAACCCTAGATGGATTTGTCTTTTTCACTCCCTTGTCCCATTTCCAGTGGTGTCCTTTGACCAAAAGTTAACGAGATCTCTCCTTTGGATAGGGGCTGTCGCTTTCCCCTCTCCTCGTGCCCCAAACCCAGGGTTTTCCAGCTAAAAGTTGTCTTGTCATTATTAGCAGAGGCTTGCTTTCACCCTGCACCCAAATCCCTTCTACTCATTTTCCTATGTTTGGAGCATTAACTATTAACCAGCTATTCTAGCTATGATACTTTTATCTATGCTCTTACCTCTACACTGATTCGGAAACTTTCCATGACTACTGAGTCTCCCCAGACAACTTCACTTGTCTTTCTGCAGGAACACAACTTTAAGAATGTTAATATCCTCAGACACCAAATGTGCTTCATGCTGATGCTTCTTGTGTCACTGTTTATTTAAGAATCCTGTTGGAAAGATTTTTTTTCTCAGGTTATTATGTGACTTTGGAAATGTTATTGGGTTTAGCCACAAGCCATGGCTGTCCAACAGTGTATAATCAGATTGAGCTAAGATGATCACAGTCCAGCAATTTGTTATTTTCTCCATTAGAACCTCCCCCCGCAGTTCCTTTTGCAGCACTTGTAAACTGGGGTGGAATAATCACAACATACAGAAAATAAATAGGCAACTCTCATTAAAAAACTGGAAATCAGGAAAGGTGAAGTGCTACCTGGGGCTGGATTGAGACCTGAAGGGGACTTGGCACATTTCTTCTCAGTGTGGAACTAGGGCCTGCTTTCCAACATGGAAACCTCCTTTCTTTTCTGTGTATGACTCCTTTTCCCACTTCATGCTAGTTCATTGAACGTCTCTCCTGCAACTTGCTAGGGAACTCCCATCTTCACTTTGCTTCTTGCACATTTCATACTGGGACCTTATTGCTGCTTTATATTGCAGATTCTGTCATGACTTATTGGGTTCTTTCTGTTCTATATCTTTATTTTCTTTCTGGAATGTACCAGCACCTAGTTCTGCATAGCTGTTGCTATCGAATTGCTACGTAACGGACTGAAATGCCTTGTTTTTGTTATTACAGCTCTTCTTTAGGAATTTATTAGTGCTTTTTGTTATCATATACTTAGCCTGGCAAATAAGGAGTGGGAGAGTTCCCTTTTGCTGCCGCTGCTTTTGGGTCTGGGAGCAACCAGGGCTGAAAGAAACACACTACTTGTTCAAGAAAAGAAAAGCTGAAGTCATGGTGAAGGTATAGGGTAGGTAGTTGCGGAGCCTCTCATGTGGGAAGCATATTGCTGTTCTCTGCTGGGGTGCTGGCGGGTGCATATGCTGCTGTTCTTCTTGTCGGGACAGAGGAGAGCAGGATATGCCGCTAGTGCTGTGTAAATTGTGAAGGCCTCTGTCCAGTGGGTTCTGGATTAAAAGGCGATTTATACTGAACATCTGCTCCATCTTCTGTGCAGCCGATTGTCTGAATTGTTCCCCCCACCCTGCGTCAATTCCACAAATCCATCATTTCTTCTGTGCAGCTTGTTCTCATGTCCAGCTGATGCTACCACGTGTGGAATGACACGCATGCTTTCCTTTCCAATGACAATGCTCTGGTGGACATGGACCATGGAGTCCCAGCAGGTTCTGATCTCCCTGTGGAATGGACCATTTTGTCCTGCCCTAAGGAGATGAACTGATGGCGACACCCAAGGTGTAAAATATATTAACTCCTGAAATAATTGCTTCCCTTCCCACCAACATTTACTGTTGTTTCCTTGCATGTCTTGGGGCCTCGGCAGGAAAGGACTAATGGACAACATGCTCTTGGTAATGCTGACATCTGCCTTGGGAGCCTCAGGTTGTCATTAGAATGTGACACACTTTACACATCTCTGGTGTGTAAGAACCGTGCTCCATTGCAAGACCTCCATGCAAACTATGGAAGTTACTAGTCTAGACAATGTAGTCAGTTTTCACTAAAGTTGACTTAGTTCTAGACTGGCAAAGTCACTGTGGAAGGTTTCTTGCTTTAATTTAGCTATATCCTTATGGCCCTCTTTTATTAGTTTTCCCCCTCAGATTTCCTAGCTTATACTAATATTGTATAACTAGATTAATCAAGGCAGAGAAAACAGGACTGTGAGAGTCTATCATCCTTATGTCTGCCTAGAAACTGGAACCAGAAAGCTGCAGCAGGTTAGGAAACTTGAGAGGGGGTTTTGGTTGCCACTGGGCCAGGGATCACGAGGGGCCATATTCTGTGTCATTGAAGGGTGAGGGCTTGTCAAAATTTCATCTTTCAGTGGAAGGTTTGTTCTGTAAACTTTTATAATGTTATTGATTGGAGTCCTAACAATGAAAATGCACAGACTATATTATGGTCTAACTGTATTAGCTTTTTGTTTGCAGAAATGAAGTGTAGTACACATAAGCACTGTTTTATGTGTTTGGATGTGACAGCATTTCATTCATGTCTTTCGCCTCACAAACACTCGATAACCAAATGCCGTGTTCCCGTAATATCCACCTATTTTTCACATACTGGTCTTAATCCCGAAGTCCCTGTAGAGAAATACTCTGCACCGTGTCTTGTAACTCTTCACCTGCAAGAAGGCCCAGCTAGTTCAAAGGTACAGAACATAACCTCATGGTGGTTGTTTTACCCTTCTCAACATGGACAGGTAAAGGGGGCCTGCATTTCCCAGGATGCTTGAGCCAGCATAGTGATCTGGGGTGTGCTGGGAGTTGTAGGCCTGTTTTTTTCTGTCGGGATGTACATTGGATTGCACCCTCTTTTTTTAGTGGAAGGAGTGCGTCCAAGGAGAACTTGAGCACGGAGCATCAGCTTGGCATGCCACGGGCCGCTTTGCATGTGGTGCTGTATGAATGGTAGGAGGCAAGGGCGATAGGCCAGGGCTGGCCTGCTGTTTATCTTCTGGGCTGCCTGCTCAGTTGTGAACCTGTTCGCTTGTGCTTCCATAGAGAGAAATTGGCTGGTGTGCGTGTGTGTATAGATGCACTGGGCTAGGCTCGTGCAAAGAGTCTCCACTGAGAGGACAACTCAAGTAAAGCAATCTGTGACTCGGTTTGCTCAAACAACCTGGGCAAAGGATCACTGTGCCGCAGCCAGTATTCAGTCCTTGGCTTTAGTGTTAGACTGTTCACAGGAACATGAGTGAACGGAGTTAGGGATCACTCAGGAGGCTCTGCCTGACTTGTGTCATCCGCATATCTTTTAAAGACTGGAATAAATGGTCACCACTCTCAGGAGTACCCCCTTCTGTGAAGCTGGGGCAGGGGAGAAAGATACTCCTGGGCTTTGCTGGGCATCTTTGCAGCACAAGTAAGACCAGCTATCTGGGACGGGGCGATATTAGGCCCTGCATGTTCCTGTAAGGCTCTTGTGAGGAAACAGTCCGGAGAGAATCTGTTTCGCAGCACCAAAGAACACACTGTGCTTCTTCTGTTTTGTGCGTGTGTGTGACCTGAAATAGATTGTTGAGGTGCACCCTGTGTCGGGCGGCCCTTTCAGATGGTTTGGGAGCTGCCGCTCGTGCAGGACGTGGCAGACTAATAGCTGGGACCAGACGGTCTGAACCACTAACTCCAGATTTCCCAGTTTGTGCTCGCTACCCGTGTGCCTCTCAGCTCAGCTCCAAATGCTGCTTTTTATGTGTGAAGCCCTGCGTGGCTGGTGGCCATAATACCTAACAGAACCACCTCATCTAACCATGAGGTACATCCAAGGCCTTCCTCCGAGTGCCACTCCCAAGGGAGGCTTGGCTGGTGGCAGCAAGCAGGAAGGGCGTCTCCAAATGATGGAGGGGGGCCCCACCAAGGCCCGCGTGGCACCGGATTGCTGTCTTTTCAGCACCAGGTTAAAAACCTCTGCCTTTGTCCTGAGACATTTGTTAGCTCCAAGTACAGATGGGAGTGGAATTGCCAGCCATTGCTAGCAGGCTTCGCAGTATGAATAAGTTTTAACTGTCATTAAAATGTGGCTTTAACTTCTTAATGTAAGGTTAAGATGTTTTACTGTTTTATATTGTGTTTTATTATATTTATTACCTGTTATTCAGTACTTAGCATTCTTTGTCTACTGGGCTGTATAGAAAATAAAATAAAATAAAATAAAATGAAGCAAGGCTTTGGAGCATCTCCCTTCTGAGGTCAACTGTATTCTTCCCCAGCATGTTGCTCTTGGCCCTGCAGTGTGACTGCTTTATTCTGAGGTGGCAGAGGGCAGCCCACAGCCCTCTGGGATAGGCTGAGCTGCAGTTTCCCCTTGGCTTGGCAAGGGCAGGCAGGGGTTGCGCCCTCCAGATGTTGTTGGACTACAAGTTCCCCATTGCTGTTCTAAGGAAATGCAGTTGTGCTGCTGCAGTAGGGCCAAAGGTGCTGGTGTCATTCGCTCCAGGTAGTGTGACGGAGCCCTTGGAGTCCTGAAAGGGAGTTCTGAGTTGGGAAACCTGGGGATCAACTGAGCGGCCTTTTTGCTGCCTGATTTACAGATTTAGCCGCTGTGTTTTCCAAATTTTGATTCTCAGCTGTGAGGAACAGAAGTTTGCTTTGCCAGCTGTTCCAAGTAGGTGCCCTCCCTGTCTGTTGTACTGCTGCCGCCTCCATCTCTGGCCAGCCTGGCTATTGGGCATGCTGACTGGGAACGACCGAAACTGGAGGACACCAGCTTGGGGAAGATGCTATTCTTACAAGATGGTAGGGAGCCACAGACCACCTCCTCCTCCTCATTATTATTATTATTCACATTTCTGCACCGCCTGTAGCTGAAGCTCTCTGGGCGGTTCACAACATTAAGTCATCTATACAGATTTCGACCCTGCTTAACTTTCAAGATTTGGCAGGATCAGGCACTTCAGGCTATACGGAAGTTTATGTTCTTCATCCTTTTTCTCCAGTTAAATGCCCTGGCAGTTTGCTGGGAAGGCAACCTGTTTTGGTTTTAGCCTTGCTCTTTTACAACGCAAGAGAAAATTGATCAGCTCTGCCCATTTCGATGCTTTGTGAAATACATTGCAGCTGTTTAGCTGAGTCACTGGAACATGCCTGTAATGTCCAGGGCTTTTAGCCCTCGCTTGTTTACATAATGGAAATACTTTTCCTGCCCTTGGGCAAACTTTGAGAAACGACTATCAAACGGTAAGGTGCCATTACCTTAGAAAATTGTGAAAATACTAAAAACTGGGTGTATAGCTATCATATTTATAGAAACTGGGTTTTTTCTAGTCCTTCCTGCCTTGCCCCATCTACACTTTGTGGCTGAGCGGTGCAGAGTATTGTCAGTCTTCAGCTTTGTGTTCTTCCACTTAGCTGCTGGTGCCCTTCTCTGTCGTGCTTGTGATCCCTACCTATACGGCACAGTATCTCCCTCCTCCACGCCATGTGGCTGTGGATGACATTTGGTGTGTCTTCCTTCTCTTTTGAAGGTATAATTAGGGCCAGCTGCCTTGCTATTCCTCCAGACTTCTCCTCGCTGTTTTCTTTGGGGATCGTGCTTGCTTTGGTTAGCTCTAATTATAGTGTCCAGAGAATAGAGGGACCCAGACAGCCATTTCCTCTGTATTTTCTTTCTCTTTTTTTAAAAGGACAGATGCTTGCTTTTTATATAAGAGCTTTAATAGAAGCATGGTTTTAGGGGCTGCTTCCCTTCCCCTTAAGTGAAAGATTTCTCTGCTGTTAAAGGCCTTGACAACATCCAGAGAGCCGCAGCGCTAGTGCTACATTTATCGATGTGGCGTTTCCGTTTCTCGATTTTTTCATCTGTCCCGATGAGCAGCAGGGACTTGGGTAAGGGAGCCCTTATCCAGAAGGACCCCTCTCAACTTCCTAGACCGTCGGTCGCATCCTGGGTGCTGAGGAGTAGAAGAAGGTGGCGGGTGGTGATGGCTTCTGACCTTGAGCAAGTCGTCTGCACCCTTTTCAGATGTTGCCCCTGGGGCAGAGTCTTCATCTCTCTTCCCTTATGCAGCAGTTGGCGTAAGCAAGGACAGTGCAGCTCTTTGGCCCGAGAGACTTAAAGGTTTAAATTTTCACAGGGCAGAAAAACCAAAAGTGGGGAGGTAACAGTAATGTGAGATGAATATGCGCTGTTGACATGTACTTAGCTGGGGATAAGGGCTGTTATTGTTTAGGCCAGGGACTCTTTGTCTGTTTTTAGAAAAGACTGTGTAAGCTAGAAAAATGGTGTTGGTAGGTGCCGGTTCCAAATTATTGTGAGTCAGCTTAGGTGTCAGCCCTGCACGGACTGCTAGAAACTCTTCCCTCTGTAAGCGCAGTGAAGGGGCGGAAAACGTGTGTATCAGATTGAGGTAGTTGTTTTCCTTCGTGGCCTGGGCTGGCCTTTCTGGGTTAGCGCCGTGCTTGAAGTGATGGTAAACCCGTCTCCACTGGTGGGTTTAACACTCCCACTCAGCATTTTGCTGTTGAAAGTACTGAGGCGAGTTGTCCACAACTGTTGTCCTTGCAGACTTTCTCCTGAGACTCCCCGACCTTGTCTTTGAACACCGCTGCTCCAGACCTGTCTCGCATCCCCACTGAAAGAGCTGATACTTCTTTCAAAGATTCCTTTCTTAATGCTCAGTATAAGTCGTCTCTGGGGAGCTTGCACAACAAGGACAACCCAGTGTGGGTGGCGAGTTGCTAGGCTCGGATTCTTCCTTGTTGCTGTGCTGCACAAAACAGCACTTCTGGGCAGTAGATTCCTCCGACTGTTTTCTGTCTGCGCCTGGAGTTGCGTGTTTGCAGCATATTTCTGTGGGGTGTAGACTCGTAGAGAGGGAAATGAAGGTCCTTACACTTGGCCCGCTTTCTCTCTTGCAGGGGGATCCGAGTCTGCCTGAGAAAGAGGGAGGATCTTGACGACAGACGGTCTGTAGACTAACCTTGGCAACAGCAAAGCCTCCCTTTCCATGCCATCCTGCTTCTCTGGTGACGGGAGAATTGGAGTCTCGGTTTGCACCCTGGTCCTGAACGCCAAGACTGGAAGTCGGAACCATGTGAGGGGTTCCCCCGCCCTGGAGCTCCCCTTGACCCCACGGTGGGCAGGTTGCTGCTAAGCCCGAGGCGTGAGCCACCATGATGTTCCGGGACCAGGTGGGCATCCTCACGGGCTGGTTCAAAGGCTGGAATGAATGTGAGCAGACCGTGGCCCTGCTCTCCCTTCTCAAGCGCATCTCCCGCACCCAAGCCCGCTTCCTGCAGCTGTGCCTGGAGCACTCGCTGGCAGACTGCTCTGAGATCCACGTCCTGGAATCCGAGGCCAACAGCGCAGGTACGTCGTCCGCTCGCCTCCTGGAACTGGTGCCTGGCCACTCGGTGGCCTGGAGGGCCGGATCCAGAGGAGCCGCTCTCGTGGCAGTAGTTGTGGGAATGCGCCCATGATGGGATGGGTTGGCCATCATGGCTGCCGTTGCGTCCTGCTTAAAGGCACCACACAGGTGCTGCGGGGTGGGGGGAGGATTTCCAGTACCTCACCCCAAGGCAGAGGAGAAAAATGGAAATTTGTGTTCTGTCATGGGCTGCCGAAGTTCCCTGAGCACACTGCTAATCCTGCAGGGACATGTTTCCCCACTTCCTAGCCTCAGGTGTGGGGCTAGCATGCAAGGTTCAAGCTCAAAACCTGAAGCCGGAGGCACGGCATGGGAGCGGGGGTGGCAGAGCAGCCAGCACTTTCTACTCGGCTACCAGGACCAGCCCGAAGTAGCGAATCCTTCATTGACTTGGGCAGGATGTCTGTGCTAGATGCCGATGGCCGTGCTGGCAAGTCCCTCCGGATAGATATGGACGCCGAAAATAATCGGCAGGTGTAGCATCACGGTCGCCCATGACAGAGACCAGTTAGCGCCTTCTTCCTGTGGCCTTTTAGGACTCCACGGATGCAGTTTGATTTTGTCCTCCAGGCCGTGGGCCATTTCATAAAAGATGAACCATGGAAGATCACATCAAGGGTGCCTCTAGTCCAGCAGCCTGTCCCTAGCAGTGGCCATGACCCGCCTTCTGGCAGCCCACAAGCAGGATACGCAAGCACTCGCCCGTGCCTGCCCACCTCCTTGCCCCTTAGCACCTGCCGTTTGGAGGTATGCGCCGCTTTCCCTGAACGTGGAGAGTGGGTTGAGTGGTTGTGACTGGTAGCTGTTGCTGGACCTCCATGAATTAGTGCATCTTCTTTGAAAGGCGCCCCGGCTCATTGCCGTCTTGTGGTGGCGATTTACATGCATTAATTTGTATCGTTCCTCTGTTTGGCCTTAACCTACTGCCAGTAACTGAGTGAGTGCTGGTATTATGACAGAAGAGAGAATTCTTTATCCTCTCCTTCCCCATCCGTAACTCCCCTCTCCCCATTCATAATGCCATGGAGCATAATGTCACAGAACCTCAGGGTTGGCCATGAAGGGCCCATGCAGCTAATTCCAGCTTTGTGAGTTCATAGGCATTCACTTTCCACAATTCATGCTTTGCACGCGCGCGCGCGCACACACACACACACACACACTTAAAAACTGTGTGTAGAGAAGCAGTCTGTGGTCTATTCCTAACTGAAGGCAAAAGAAAGTGATTGCACTGGAGCTAATCTACAGTTCCTTTCAGGTTAAGATTGTAGGACAGATACATGTTAGGGGTGACTACCCTGTGGCACTTGCCTCTCCAGCGAGCAGATAATTAGGGCCAAAAGTCTTCACAAGTTTAATCCGATCTTTCCAATCCGTGTGAACGCAGTTCCATCCCCCCAGGGGCCATATGATCCAGGCAGCTGCCACTCCTGCCTTCAGAGCTTACAGATCTGGGCCTCCCAGTTATGGAACAGTGGAGCTGGGGGGAGAAGCAGCCAGTGCGGTCCTCTAGCAGTGGACACCCAGAAGGGGCCAGTGTGCTTCTGCCTTGCCTGGTGGCCGAAGCTCCCTGGAGCGTTCACAGCGGGAGGCTGGGCGGAAGGCCCTGCGCACTCGCGTCCTGCCTGTGGGGCCCCCGGGGCAGCTGGGTGGTCACTGCGAGAGCTGCGGTGCCAGCAGCAGGCTGCTCCGGAGGAACGCTTGGTCTGATACAGCAAGGCTCTCACTGCGTCGTTGCTGACACGACTCTGGAAATGCCACACGTAGTCAAAGCAGCCACGGGTCCTGTGGCACCTGCAAGACCAACGAGCTTCTTAGGGCGATGGCGAATTGGTTAGCCTTCGAGGCGTCGCAAGGCTGCTTCTGCTGCGGCAGGTGGGGCCCAGGTACGACTCTGCCATGTACGTACCACCGAAAGCTGTTGCCAGTGTCTGGGCGTGCTGGATTCTGCCTCTGTGTAGAGGGGCTGAGACGGGAGCCCCTGGAAGTGATTCCTGGACCCCCGTTGCATGAGCTGCTGCTTGTAACTTGTCCCCCCTCTCCCTGTCTCCTTCTCCGGCAGCCGTCATCAGTCAGTGGCATCAAGAGCCAAAGGACAAAGTGGTCTCGCTGCTCCTCTCCCACCTGCCGCTTCTCCAGCCCGGCAACGCAGAGGCCAAGTCGGAGTACATGACGCTCTTGCAGAAGGTGCTGGCTTACTCCATCGAGAGCAACCTCTTCATCGAGGAGAGCAGGCAGCTCCTCTCCTACGCCCTCATCCACCCGGCCACCACGCTGGATGACCGCAACTCCCTGGCCCTTTGGCTCAGCCACCTCGAGGAGCGCCTGTCCAGCGGCTACTCCGGCCAGAGCAGGGGCCGCCCTGACACCGCGTACCACTCGCGCCAGGGCTCAGACGAGTGGCAAGGTCCGGTGGACACAGGCCTGGGAGACCTGGGACACGGCTGGCAGGAGAAGCCACCTCGGGAAAATGGGCACATGTCCTTCCACTCCTCGGGCTCGGTGCCGTCGGCCATCAACAGTATCGGGAGCAATGCAAACACAGGTGTGGAGAGCAGGGCTGCTAAGCAGAAGGGGGGGCATCTCAGTACACTGTTCCTCGGAATGTCCCTCCCAAGGGGCGCCCCCACCAGTTTTCCACAAAACCCAAGGGCACAATCCAATAAGGCGTTTTCCTGTGCAAGTCACACCAGGTTGAATGGAACAAGTACTAAGTAATTCCCTGGTGAAGAAAAGCATCCTGGTGGATTGAGCCCCGGTATTTGCTTTGAAGGCCTCCCTCAAGAAAGTTATGGAAATTCTAGTTGGTTTGAAAATGAACCCAAGTATTTCCTGGTTTGTGAGGAAAAAACTTGGAAATGAGCTGAGCTGAGCAAGCTGGAGAGTGCTTTCCCATCTCTGGGTTAAAAGTATTCCATTGCCTGTGAAATGTCAGGCTATTCTTTTTTCTTATTCTCGCTGGAAAACTCTCATTACTACACTCAACTCACTTTGGCGGAGCTGCTGTCATAGTTTTAGGCACTGGTCCTGCATAGTCCTGCATAAAATGCTTGGCGCTGAGTTTTCATGATGCCTAAGCAGCCAGTGAGGCTGAGGTTGCCCCAGGCCTGCCTGGAGGAGTTCTCAGAATATTCCTTCAAATGGTCATAGCAGTCAGTTTCACTGACTGGACCCACATTTTCTTTTCTTTTCTTTTCTTTTCTTTTCTTTTCTTTTCTTTTCTTTTCTTTTCTTTTCCTTTCCTTTCCTTTCCTTTCCTTTCCTTTCCTTTCCTTTCCTTTCCTTTTCGGTGGTGAGTTGTTCATAACTTCAGAGCCTGTCATTTAGTCCTTTACCCCAAGGTCTGCTCTTTGGAGCTAGGACTGCCCCCAGCCTTAAACTTCCCTTTCTAAAGAAGACGGCGCACTCCTCCGATGATTTCGTGGCTCAGGTCCTGATTCTTCCTCTCCGGTTGCAGCCCTCCCTTGCCAGATCCACCCCAGCCCGCTGAAGCGCTCCATGTCCCTCATCCCGACCAGCCAGCAGGTCCCCAGTGAGTGGCTGAGTGTGGAGGAGCTGGGCGCCCGGCCAGCCTTCATCTCCAGTGGAGAACATGCACCCCTCTCGCCCCAGAGCAGCGTGGCCTCCTCAGGCAGTGAGCAGACGGAAGAGCAGCCCGGCAGCCGCAACACCTTCCAGGAGGATGGCAGCGGCATGAAAGGTAACGGAGAGGCCGGGGGAGTGGGCGCTGATTGGCGGGCGGTATGAGGCCACGTTGCGCCTGGCTGACGGCGTTCCCGTACTGGGCCTGGGGGGGTTTCACACAGGAACCTCTCTGATCACGTGCTGCTGCATCTTGACTTTGTTTGGGCTTCTCGCGCTTCTTAAAATTACACCTCACTCAGTCATGCCCGTCTTGCCCGCACCGTCCTTCTTCTTGTCCTTTGTTTACTCTGTGTGTGTTTTGTCTGCCTGCAACGCACACACATCAGTTTGCCAGTTTTGCCCTGCCGTGAGACATGATGGTTCAAGAGAGGGTCGTGAACACGTCCTCATACAGAAGCCATATAAAACAAGGGGTCCTTACTTGCTTGAGAAAGATCGCTGAGGTAGCAATTTCCAGAAGGGTGACCATGATAGTCTGTTACAGCAAAAACAACAGAGGTTCTTGAAGGCCGACAAGATGGCCTGATGGACGCGGTTCACTAGAGTTTATGCCAGGACACATTTGTTAGTTTCCAAGCTGCCGGAAGACTCTTGGTTGGTTTTGATAGACTTGGTCCAGTGAGCCTGAGCTACAACTGGAAAAACTTTCCATCCCAACAGACCTCAGTGCCAGGACTCTCTTTGCTGGCCTGCATTTTTGACAAGAGCCGCCTTTTACAAGGGCACATTAGACAGTCTTCCTAGCTCAGTGTGGACAGCTGAACCAGGCACCAGGTTCAGATGCTGGTACGTGGGCTCCTGAAACTAGGCAGGGGACTTGTCTCGCCTCTGCTGCTTCAGGTCAAAGTAGAAGTGCTGGGGAGTCAATCCAGTTCTGCAGCCTAGTGGTGCCTCTTCCACTTGCTGAAGTGTCAGGCAGTGTTCTGAAGAGCGGGAGACTGCGTGGTGCCTGATAGAAATCCGAGAATGAGATTCATGGAGAAGTGCACAGTCTGTCAGAGGCCTTTGGCAGGCACGTTCCCTCAGCCCTAACCCGCCCTTTTTTGGCTCCCAATCAGCTTCAAAGATACTAAATAAATTTCCTGCCGGACATAAACTTCGACACCTTTGCGTGTGTGTTTGAGTGCGGTTTGCTCAGTAGCTTTGTGTAATAACTTCTGGGCCAGCAACTGGGCTAGCGCTCGCTCTCTCTGGGCAGTTAGCTCATGGCAAGGCTCTCCTGAATTACCTCTTGGCCCTTCTTCACAGATGTCCCTACCTGGCTGAAGAGCCTTCGCCTCCACAAATATGCAGCCCTCTTCTCCCAAATGACTTACGAGGAGATGATGACCCTCACAGAGCAGCACCTGGAGTCGCAGGTAACGCACAAGGCGCTTGCGAGGTGAAGCACGCAGCTCTTGTCACAGCTGCTGCCCTTTGCGTGCACGACCCTCCCTTGGGTGGGACGCGTCCCGGGAATGTTCTCTGATAAGCCCTCCTGCAGGAGCACTTCCCATGTCCAAGAAGCCAGCGGGCTGGTGCCTTGGTCCAGAACGCAGCCGGGCGCATGCATATTTGAACCCCTGTGGCTGCTTTGTGGTGGAGAGGGGCGTGCGTGCCTGACGTGCCTTCCTGGGATGGGGCTGTCTCCCTGGAGGCCGAGGAGTGGGCGCACTTCCTGGCGGGTTGCTCACCCCCCTTTTTCCAACCTTCCCTGACCCAGAATGTAACCAAAGGAGCACGGCACAAAATTGCCTTGAGCATCCAGAAGCTGCGGGAGAGGCAGAGTGTGCTGAAGTCTCTGGAGAAGGTAAGGGAACCCTCCTGTTTGCCCTGAAATCCTGGAAGGGGAAAATTGCCCCTGGTGGACTTCTGAAAAGGATTTTTTCCCCCTGTGGAAAGAGAATGTGCTGGAAAATTTTCTGTACGGGATACAGAACACGTGCTCCTCCAGATGCGGTTGGGCTACTGCTCCTGCCATCCCTCACGGTTGTGTCTGCTGACCTGGGCTGATGGGAGTTGCAGTCCAACAGGGGGTGGAGGGCTGTTTGAGCCCCACCACTGCTCTGAGGCAAAGCGCGAGGAGGGCGCAAGAGGCGAGGAATACCCACTGGGATTATACCTTCGACGGCCTTTGCCTTTCCGTGGTGGCGCAGCTCATGATTGCAGGGGAAGCCCTTTCTTCATTTCGAACTGTTGAAACCCCAGCTGTGCAGGCGCTACTTGCTCCAACTTCTGGAGTGCCGCTCTGGGTTCGTGCAGGCTCACCTGCGAAGGGCAGGGCTCTTACCTCGTGACGGCATGTGCAAGGAACCCTGCCAGATTGGCTCACCGGCCCAGCGAGTCCAGCACCTTGGTTCCCCCCGGGGCCAGCCAGAGGCCTGCGGGAAGCCCACAGGCAGGTCGCCCTCTCCTCCTCCTCCTCTCCGGGCAACTGGTGTTTCAGTGCCCCGACGCTGGAGGCAGAGCAGGGCGAGTCCCCTTGGGTGCCCTTTTCCGCCGTAACATCGTTCACTTGCCCTTTTGAAGGCCCCCCGATTCAGAGGCCCCCGCCCCGTCTTGTGGTGCCGGGTCCTGTAGTTTGGGCTGAGACTTGCTGCTTCATTTCCTCGTTACCTTTTATGCCTGGCTTTTCCACGGAGCGGAATGACTTGTTGTGGCAAAGAGGTGTGAGGCTGGGACGATGCAAGATGGTGCTTGCGGGCAGAAGTGCTTCTTGTTGGCGTGCCACAAGTGGAGCCGGCTGGAGCCGGGGGTCAGACTAGATGGGAGGCCCCCGCTGACCTGCTGTGTTTCCAAAGGAGGGCCTCTCAGCTTGCGCCAAACCCGCCGCTGCACAGAAAGGACAAACGCGAGGGCCCCGTTGGAAAGTCTGCTCGGTTTGCTCTCGCCATGCTCTGCTCTCTCTTCCCCTCCTCCTCCTGGCAGGATATCCTGGAAGGTGGGAACTTGTGGAACGCTCTCCAGGAACTGCAGCAGATCATCATCACTCCCATCAAGGCATTCCACACCCTGCAGGCCGCGGCGGCCTCCAAGGAGGGCCAGCAGTTGGCAGCAGAGCAGCGTGGCGCTCCCAAGCTGGGCCTGGAGAAGGGCGGTGGCGGTGGTGGCGGCGGCAGTGCTGAGGAGAAGGAGACGGCCGCAGACACCTTCCCACCCCCGAGCGGCTCGCCCTGCGACGGGGAGTCGGGGGCCGCACCCATTGCGGAAGGGGACATCGCCGGACAGTTCACCCGCGTGATGGGCAAAGGTGTGCTGGCCCCGGGCCAGGGACGGTGTTGCCATGCAGCCTGAGATCCCCCTCCTCGTTTCCTTTCACTGCTGGTGGCGGCAGGGACTCTGGAGCTGGAGGGGATGCTGGGGAGGGCAGACCAAATGTGGCATGGCTGGGCTGGGTGGAGGCGGGCTGAAGCACCGGTCCTGCCATGGCGGAGGAGCGGCCCTTGCGCAGGTGTGATGGACTGCGATTGCCGCCCCATCCCCAGCATGAGAGGAGCCAATTTACGGGCAGAGGGCATGGCACTCTCCCTTCCCCAGCTGTGCTGGCTGTCCTTGGCAAGGTGCCGCTGGGCTTTGGGGGGTCTGGAAGCAGGGCCCAGGGGCCGCCGCCTGTGCGCCACGAGAGCTCTGACGGGTTACACAGAACACACGCCCTACCCGTGGGACGGCCTGGGCTGCAGGAGCTTGCGGGATGCAGTTGGGTGCTTCTCCTCTTGCTGCCATGGGTACAGGCCGCCCTCCCGAGGAATGCTGGGCTGCCCGACACTGCGGGGGTCTCACTTCCGGCATGCTCCGGGCGCAATTACATAATCACTGAATTGTGAGGCCCGTTTGCTTGCAGCGAAATGGACTGACAGGTGTGCGCGTCCTCTCCCTACCCCTTGTTCCGCCTGCAGTGTGTACGCAATTGCTGGTATCCCGGCCCGACGAGGAGAACATCACTAGTTACCTCCAGCTGATAGAGAAGTGCCTGCTGCACGAGGTGGGTGTGCTTGCGCGTGCCTGGTGGCTCGCACCCCGAGGGTGCCGGCCGTGCTGCCCCCAGACATGGCTGTCCTGGGCTGTTTCTGCAGGCGTTCACGGAGACCCAGAAGAAGAGGCTCCTGTCCTGGAAGCAGCAGGTGCTGAAGTTGCTCCGGACGTTTCCGAGGAAGGCCATGCTGGACATGCAAGGCTACAGGCCACAGAAGGGGTGAGCCTCCGCAGACGGCGGGGCCGGGGATCAGCCGTGGAAGGTGGGGCGGGCGGGCCTTCCGGAAGGGAGGCGTCGGCTGCAGGGTGAGCGCCTTCGAGTAGGTGGGGGCTTCTTCCGCCAGCAAAGAGCTCGGCCGCTCGGCATTGAGGCGCAGGAGCTCACGCCGTGCTGTGGGTTTAGGCGACAAGATTCCTATCGCGTGGCTCTTCCAGCATTTCGGGAAGCTGTGTCTGACTCGTCCGCCCTCCGCTTATTTCCCAGGTGGGCCTTTGGTTCCAACTCTCTCCCCATAGCTGGATCTGTGGGGGTTGGGGTGGCACGCAGAGGTCAGCGGCAGTTCCAGATGCCCCCCCGAGCCATCCCGCCAAGCCGCCTTGGGATTCTGAGCCCCGCCGGGATTGGTGGCGTCTCCCCTCGACATGCTCTCGCCAGCCCGAACCTGGGGGGCCAAGGACGGCAGGTAGGGCACTGGGAGCGCAGGTGGGATGCGTCAGGAGAGACGGTACGCTGGGGCCTGAACATGGTCTGGGCACGGCGAGTCGGGCCACGTGCAGATACCTCTGGGCGTGCGCCATCAGGCTGCTCCTCCTCAGACCAGGGTTCTTCGCACAGAGGCCAGTAATGGCGGAGAACCTTCCGCAAAGATGGGTCGTGTTTCCTCAGCAGTTTGGGGTGGGCCCTGAATGCCGACAGCTCGAAAGCTGCTTGGCTGGGGCAAGCGGGGGCATCCTCCTAGAGCGTGGGATCCGCCTCTGGCCCCTCGCAGGTACCCCGGTGGCCTGGCTGTGGGAGTCTTGGTGGCCTCCCAGCTTTTGTGCCCCCCCGAGCAGCTGAAGCGCCTCCCCGAGGCCCCCGCGGCAGGCAGTGAGGCTCCAGCGCTTCCGCCTGCTGGCATTTTGGCCCTGCTCGCAGCTGCCACCAAAGGCGTCTCCGAAAGAGAGCTCGGCCCTCGTGTTGCCGCACCAGATGAGTCGCTGGGCTTTTGGAAGGGGCGGCTCCAGTGTGTGCGCTCAGAAGTGTTGTCTCGCTGAGGGAACCACAGAAGATGGGGGGCGGGCAGGCAGTCTGCTGCGCAAGTGGCCCCCTGCGGAAACCCTCCCTCTTCCTCTTCCTCCCCAGAACCTGTGGTTTGCCAACCCCGGGGGCAGCAACAGCATGCCTGGCCAGAGCCGCAGCTCAGTCCAGCGGACCCACTCGCTACCCGTCCACACCTCCCCGCAGGCCATCCTCATGTTCCCGCAGGGTGAGTGTGCCGGCTTCCTCACACGGGGGTGGGGGGCTCCTTCTCCGTCTTGGCGTAACCCCCAGTGCCTGCGCCTCCGCCTCCCCGCACTGCACTCAGAGAGGGCGGTGGGCCGGCGAGAGCAGGCGTGCCTTGGCACCCTGTGGCCCCCAGGGGAGCCCGCCCTCTTCCCTGGTCTCTCCTGGCAGAAGCGGAGCCCCGGGAGAGCCGAGCGAGCGTTCACCCGGCCCTTCTCCCCCTCAGATTGCCAGCTCCCCGGAACGGACCTGGAGATCAACCCTACGCTGGAGTCCCTGTGCCTCAGCATGACGGAGCACGCGCTGGGCGGTGAGGGTCCTCGCCGGGGCGTGGGCAGCGCCTCAGAGCAGGCCTGGCCTGGCTTCCCAGAGGGAGGCCCGGGGTGGGCTGGCGCTGAAGCGAGGGTTTCCCGCCTGGCCTTGCGTTGCCCAGGCTGGGTCACGCAAGGATCTCAACGCGCGGTAACAGCCGGCCGAGGGACTGAAAGGGGGCCAGCCGGAAGGACGAGCCAGCGGGATCGCCAGGAGGGAGGCCCCCTCTCACCTGCCCTGCATGTCCTCCCTCTGCCCGTGGGGCCAGAGCCAGGGGAAGGCGGCCGAGCCTCCCTCCGCTGGGCTACCGGAAGGGAAGCGTACCAGAAGGGGCGAGCGCAGGCTCTGCCCCGCCCGCTTCATCTCGGCTCGCAGCTCGGCGCCCCGTGTCTCGAGTGGACGTTGGCTGGCTGCCTTGGTTCTCTGCCTTGCTTGTGCGCACCGCCTTTCCCTCAAGGAGCTCAAGGTGGCGAAGATGCTGTCGTCCCTGGGAGACGTTCGGCTAAGGGGCCGGCAGCTCCGCCAGGTGGCCCAGTGAGCCCCGTGGCTGGCCGGAATTGAGCCTTTCTCCATCCCAGCGCTGCCCGGCGCTCGCTGCCCGTGGGGAGGGCCCCAGTGGCAGGGCTGACCTTGCGCTTGCCCTGTTCGGCCTGGATCCCGTGGCTGTTCTGCCCGCGAGGCCCGCTGGCGTCTCCTGGCCAGCTCTTTCTGCCCTGCCAGTGGAAGCCAGCACCCCTGCGGATTGCAGCGTGCCATTTAGCCACCCTCGCCCATGGCCAGGGCTCGCTGGCTGGCTTGTCCCTCCGTTCAGACAGCAGCCACGCACGCTCCTACCCACCCGCCCGCTCGCTGCGGTCCCACATTCACGACCTGCTTCTGCCTCTCTCTCTCCCTGCAGATGGCACCGACAAAACTTCCACCATCTGAACGAAGCTGGACCTGCTGGTGTTCCTGTGAAGCTTTCGGGTGGCTGTTTATTTTTTCCCCTTTTCTGTTATAACCTCCTTTCCTCCCGGGGTGTGTTGCGGTGGGGGTGGGCGAATCCTTCTTGTCCCACCTCCAGCATTCCCTAGCAGCCGGAGGGATGGGGGAGAAAAAGCTGTCACTACAATCTTACCATCTTATTGTGTTCTAATATTTTTCTATCTTTTATTATTATTATAACTTCAGCTATTGGTTTAATACTTTGATGTATGTGGGAGTTGGCAGAGTCTCCCAGAAGCTTAACTCGCAGAGGCAGGAGGAGGCTGAGGTTGGGCCACGTTCTTCCCTTTCTTGTTTGCTTTTCCTTCCTCCGCCCCCTCCCACCGTTTACATGCCAACGGCCTCTCCCTTTCCTCACCCTTTTCTGGAAACGTGCAAAAGGCAGGGGAAAGTGTGACCAAGGGCATAGGCAGAAGGGTCTCCCCTGCCCCCAGGAGGCGTGGGGCTGGCGTGGAAGGAGCAGCGGCAACAGGGCACAGGAGGCCTTGCGGGGTTGACGGCGAGCTGGTTCCGTCTGAGCCGACTCGGCTGCTCGCTCTCTGCGCCCGGCCTGGGAGGAGAAGGGGAGCGGCAGCCCAGCCCGCTTCAGGTGGCTGACACGTTTTCAAAAGTGCCTCTAATACTTCCTCCGACCAAGGGCAGTTGGCGAGGGGTGGGGGGACCGGCACTGGCAGGCTTGTCCGTTCCATGTTTTAAAAAAATGAAGCCGCCCCCGCGTGCTGCCCCATGGGTGGGGGGGACCGGACGGGGTGGCTGTGGGGATCGGAGAGGGACCCCTTGGCCGCCCTTCGCTCCCCTTCCCCCAGGAGCAACACTGGTGAGGCCCACGTGGGACTCTCGGCTCCTAGGAGGAGCGGCTTGGGGTCGGGGTCCGCCAAGTTTTGTTGAAGCAGTTCAGAGGGGTTTGGGGGATCCGTCAGCAGTTCCGCAGTTCGGGAGCAAAGTTCTCAGTTGAGCAGGTTCGGGTTACTTGTACAGGCAGGTACACAATTCTTTCCTGGCTAATGAATTCTGAGCTGGGCAGCAGGAGGCTGGCCAGCCCGGCCGTCGACTTTCGGCGGTCCTTCCGTGATTTGGGGGCGCGGTGGTCTCCCTCAAGGTGGCTGGGGCGAGCTGCCGGGTGGGCGGGCCGGCCGGCCGTATCAGAGCCCTGCTTCCCGGGGCGGAGGGCTCCCCCCACTCCCGCGCGGGGCTGAGGGGCAGCGTCTTTGCGGGGGGGGGGGGCTCTTGGCACTAATGAATTTTCAGGAGCAGGCTGGCCCAGAGGGGATTGGAGTGGGCGGCACGGTGGGACAGTGGGGCCTGGGAGGCACCACCGCCCCCTTCGCTTGGGCGTGGGACAGCGCGGGCGAGAGGTTCCTGGGCAGGGACCGCACTTGCGCCGGGGGCCTGTGGGGGCCCGTCTGGAAGGGGATCCGGGCAGCTCTCCTCACGCGGGGCCGGGGGCCGGCATCCGGATGCATGCTCTGCACCTCCTGGGCTTTCCGCAACTTTCTCGCTGGGTAGGAGGGAGGGGGCAGTGGCTGCCAACCCCCACTGCTGACCCTCCGGACTTAGAAACGAGGCGGTCGCAGGAGGTGCGGGGGGGGGGGGCTGGCCAATGCCTTTCTCCCGCAGGACGATGCAAGCGGCGAGACGCCGAAGCATCCGGGTCCAGCGGCCACGCCGGTGTGGGTGGGCGGGCCTCTGTGAAGTCCATGGCAGGGGCGAACGGGGTGTCAAAGCGAAAGTGTGTCCGCTCATCACACTGTGGGGGGGGGCAGGTGGGACGAGGAGGGTCTCACGCCTCTGGATCAAGGTCACCCCGTGCCCCCTCGCCGGCCACGGCCGTCACGCAGCACGAAGCACCTCCCGCCCCAGCCGACCTGGGCAAGCTCCTCGGTACGGAGGAACCGCGCGTCCTCCCCCCTCTCCCCCACCGTCAAGAACTGTTTTAAATGTAAAGGCCTTTTTCCAAAGTGTATATGGAACAATAGCGTACAGCCCGCCACAAAAACAGACCTGAGAGAACTATTTCTAAAAAGTAGAGAGACAAGGTTCCTGTTTCAGATAGAAATGTTATTTTAGATACATTTTATTATGAATAACTTTTGTTATGACTATGGCTGGTAACCATGAATACGTTATTTAAAAAAAAAAACCACAAAACATTTTACAAAAAAAATTCCAGATTCTGACTTTAGATTGCTTTGTTGGACTCCTTTGCTGCTTTTTTCCTTCCAGTTTTTGCTTTGTAAAAGGCATACAGAATTTAAGTATTAGCCCTTTTTTATTAACCTCTATGATAAAGCTGTGCTTATTTTGTATTAATTTCTTTTTTAAATGCTTGGCTTTTTGTTTTCGCTTTGAGTTGGGCTTGACGCACGGACTCGCTGCTCTTGGGGTATCAAAGAGGAGCCCGTGTTGCTGCTGGAGGCAGAGCGTGTTGGTTCGCGGAGCCATGCCGAACCGCGTTACGCTGCTCGGCCGGCTGGCCTCCGCACCTGGCAACTGGTGCTGCGGTGCCCGAGGGTGGAGGATTGGCCCCATGTGCCCCTGCATCCGCTTCCAGGGGCGCGTGAGTGGGAGACGGTCAGGATGGGTGGGGAGAAGAGCAGGTGGGCTGTCTGGATCCTGCACCTGGCGCTCGGCTGGGCTTCCTTCGGGCAAGGGGCTGCGCAGTTGAGGGAAGGCCGAAGTCTGGCCCGGCCCCCTTATGGCTCCTCCCCTTGTTCCATCCCCGAGAAACGGACCTCCCTCCTCCTCCTCTCCCCCTGCCCCACACACCTTGTTCTTTCAGTCTGCCCGCGTGGGGCCAGGCCTGCCCCAGCCCTCCGTGGACATGAGCTGCTCCTGGGGGCCGGGGAGTCCGGTCGAGATTCATTCCGACACGATGGAAGGTCGGCCCAAGCCACCTGGAGGCCACGCGCTATTTGGCCCACCCCGGAAGATGTCCCCCCCCCACCCCCCATCTTGGTGGCACTCCAGAGTTTCCCAGGGTGGGGAGTGTGCGGAGGTGTCTGGGGATCGCTGTGGGAAGTGAGCTGCTCCGGAGAGCAGCCAGCCCACCATGGGGGGGGGGGGGGGTGCCACGCAGAGAAAGGGCATCCGCTCCCCATACGGGATGTCCTGTAATTTTTGGCACCTGCTCACGCGCCTCCCTACCAAGGGGAACCCGAGGGGGTGAAATTAAGCCCTCTGGCAGGCAGCCCGCTGGCCGTCCCGCGGGGCTGCCTCTGCCCCAGGCAGCCGCTGGGAGTGGTGCTCCGGGGGGGGGGGGGCGGTCTGCGCTTGCGTGATGAGGGCACTGTGTGGCACATGGGCCTGGCCCACCGGGCAGCTGCCCTCGGGACGGGTGCAAGCCGCACGCAGCGCTGGGGCCCGGAGGCGGCCTTTCAGGCCCGCGGGATGAGCGCTTGTCTGCAGGGACCAGTCCCGGCTGCGGAGGCTGGTGCAGGGAGGGGAGTCTCTCCTTCGGCTCTTCTCTGGCACACGGAAGCACCCACAGCACAAGCTCCCACGCAAAAATGGGGGGCTGAGGAAGGGATGCATTTTCTTTCACAGTAGACGCAAGGTGGGGGAGCCAGCATGAGGCCTGTGCTCGTGTCCAGAGGAGTCTGGCGCACCAGCGCTAATTGCCGCAGGAGGTGGGGTGCCGGGACGCCCCCCCTTCGGACTGCCACCTTCCCCACCTCAGAACTTGGCAATCGCTCCGGAGCGGCCCTGCAATCTGCCAGCCTCTGGGGCGGGCACGTTAAATCGGCCACCTGCCCGCTGTACCTGGCAGCCGCTTCCCTGGGCCTCGCTGGGCCCTGGACACACATGCGGTGGTGGCGGTGCTACCTGGGGGGCTGTGGGGCCCTTCTGCCGGTGCAGCACAGGCCCTCCCTCTGGGAAAGAAGTGTCTGGCCAGCCACCTCTGGCCCCGCACTGCAGCAGCTGCAGCCCCAACTGTAGAAGGGACAGGCGTGATGGCAAAAAAAACCTCTAAAAGCAACCACAGACAAAAAAACAACTCTTTAATGACACACACACACACACACACACCCCACGGAGCTGCAAGATTTGAGCGCCGCCTTGAAGCAGAAGCTTGCAGAGCGGGCGGACGTGCTCGGTCTGTCCAGCCCGCCCGCGTCTCCCCTCCCCGCTGCCCAGAGCGCCGGGGCTGCACTACATAGACCTTCGGGGGCAGATCTGCGCAGCCCCTGCCCAGAGCCAGTGCGCAAGGGGCATTTGCTGCCCCCCCCAAGCTGGTCCTTGAACTCGCACCGCTGTGGGAGCAGCCTAGTGAGAATGGGGTCGAAACCAGAATGGATTGTGCCGGAGTCGGTGCGAATTAAGCCCAGCCTGACGGTTGCATCTGGCAGCCTGGCCTGGAAAGAGCCCTCCCAAACCTTGTGCTTTTCTCCTCATGCCCAACACCTGTGCCAGGCGGCCCAGCCAGCGCTGCGGGGCCGGGGCCGGGGCCGTGTGCGTGGGCCTGCCGGCTCGTAGGGATAAGGCACCGCCGTGCCACCGACCTCGTCTTCCGAGCTCCCGCAGGCTCGGCTCGGCTCAGCTCAGCAAACCAAGCAGCTCCCTTGGGAGCGATCGCCACTGCAGCGGCGGGACGTGGCCAGGCTCTCGGGCCCCCAGCCCACTCCCCTCGGGGCCCGAGGCGGCCTTGGGCTCTGTCCAGCAGGGGCTTGCCTCTCGCCCTGTGGGGGCCGCAGCTCCCCTGGGCCTCATCCCAGGCAGCCGGGAGGCCCGGGTGGCTTCCGCCCCCTGCTCCGAATGCAGCCCCACAGAGCCCGTCTCCACGGCCTGCCAGGCGGCAGCCCCCCGTCTCAATCCCGCAACGGCACGGGCGGAGGGCGAGGTCTGTGGAGGGCAGCGGTGGCCCAGCAGGGAGAGAGGCAGCGGGGGGCGGGGGGGGGGCCGTCAGGCCCACCAGGCATCCAGGCGCCGCACGCGCACACGCTGCTTGTAGTGGTACTCCTTCAGGTACTGCTTCAGGGCGCCGGGCATGGGCAGCTGCCCTATGCCGTCGTACGTGGTGCAGCCGGTCACCACGGCCCGGCAGAGGTGCTGCAGGCCGAAGGGAAAGGTGCGGTTGACGGGGATGGAGAGCAGTGGCTCGAAGAACATGCAGACGCTGGGGTCCTTGTAGTGCTGCAGCAGGCCGGTCACGGTGGGCGCGTGGAAGACGCTGGGGTCGTGCACGTCGAAGCTGAAGTTGTGGTTCCACTGCTCGATGCGGGCGTGCAGGGAGCGGCCGTAGCGCCGGAAGCTCACCGAGAAGAGGTAGTCCTCCTGGGCCGAGTCCCGCAGCAGGAACGTCCCCTCCGGCTTGCCGTCCAGCAGCGCCTCCGCCTCGTAGCGATCCATCACGCCCCAGTAGCAGGGCAGCTGCGTCAGCTGCAGCAGGTCCGGCACCAGGCAGTGGATGTAGTCGATCTGCGTGTGGACGCGCAGCCCGTCCCTGGCGCCGGGCAGCAGGGCGGAGGCGGCGGCCGCCTCCTCCTCGTCCTCCTCGTCCGCCTCGTCCTCGTCCTCCCCCTCGTCCGCGGCGGCCGGCCCGGCCCGGCCCGCCCCGGCCAGCTCCCGCATCCCGTGCGTGAGCTTGGGGCCCAGCTTGTAGAGGGGGTTGATCTGGGCGGTCACCTCGAAGGTGTGGATCAGCGCGTTCGGGGGCGGCTCCACCCCCTGCTCGATGCTGATGCGCCGGCACTCGCGCAGGCGGTCGTCCTCGTCCTCGGCGGGCGGCGGCCCCAGGGCCTCGTCGTCCGAGACGGGCGCCGTGTGCTGCTTGATGAGGGCCCAGGTGCGGGCCAGCTCGGAGCCCGGCGGGAACGGGCACGTGTCCAGCATCAGCTCACGCAGGTGGATCTTGCGCTGCGCCGAGAGGTCGGGCGAGCGGGACGCACTCTTGATGGGGAAGCACTGGCCCACCGCGGCCTGCAGCTTCTGCCGCAGGGAGCGCCCCACGCCCTTGCTGGGCTCGGGCTGCGCCTCCGCCGAGGGGCCGGCCGGCTTCTCCGCGGACCGGCTCGCTCTGGCCCTCCAGCGGCCGCCGGGCCGCCCCCCGGCCCCCACCTCCGGCTTCACCTTCGGCCGGGCCCCGCCGTCCTGCGACACGCTCCCGCCAGGGAGGGCGCTAGAGGGACGGGGCCCGCCACAGGCACACAGAGAGAGCGGGGTGGGCGCGCCCGGTGCCGCGCATGGCGCCGGCGGGGGGACCTGGTCGAGACAAGAGCAGAGAGCACAGCGTTAGCGGCCCGTCCTGACCCCGGGCTAGGCCGCATCCAGAGTGAAACATGACCCGCTGCCCTTCCGCCGAGCCCCGGCACCTGTCGGGGCAGGGCACCACTGAGCAAAGGCACGGAAGAGCGAGGGGCAAAGCCGCTTCTCCGAATGCCCAGCCAAGGCCGGTCACTGAGCCTGCACTGAAAAACCCACGGAAACGCCCACTGCCGAGCCAGGGCTGTGGGCCTCTTTTCGGCCTGAGGGCTGAATTTCACCCCAGAGGAATTGGGGGGGGGGGGTCCATGGTGGGCGCAGCTAAACTGTAGCAAATGCCAGTGTGTGCTCGGCTCCAGCCCACACTGGCAGCAGGGCGCTTCAGGAGTGGCATTTCAAGGCGGGAAAGCCGAGTGCTCCCCTGACCTGATGTTGGGGGAGAGAAGAGTGGACTTCTGGGGCCCCAGAGAGGCAGGGGGCCCTCGGGGTGGGGCTCCTCACCCCCGATGTCAACCAAGCAAGCAGGCCGGGATCTCCTAGCCTGGCAAGACCGATCCTGCGGCCTCGAAGTCAGGAGGCCCCGAACTCTGTGGGGCTCCTCCTGGACACCCCCCTGCTAGCAGAGTCCGCGAGGCCACACGCCTTCCCCAGTGCCCAGAGGGGTGTGGGGGGGCGGGGGGCGGCTTGTGCCTTGCAGACCCACTGCTGGCCCCTGGAGTCCCGCAGCCCTCCCCGGAGTCGTGCCCTCCGGGCTCACCCTCGGCTGGACCGCCCCACAAGCTGCCCCTCCGGCTGCCGCTCTCCAGCCCCACGAGCCCAGCCTGCTACCCAGCGACCTGCTCCGTGCAGGTCCGGTGCACCTCTCCTCACTGAGGACTTACTCCTTGGCCCTCTTGGCTCATCTGTCAGCCAGGCACTGGAAGAGGCTCGGCGGACTGGAATCCTCCCATCGGCCACGTCGCGAGCACCTGCGCGGGAGGACAGACGGGGAGCATGGGTGAGGCAGTGAAGAGCAGGAGCGCCGTGCGGGTCCCACGGGCAGCTTCCTGGGCCGTCGGGCCGAACTCCGCACCCACCTGGA